TCTCCCTGGAGTCTTGGTTTAGCAATATAACAGTTCTGTTTCTGTGGTGATTTTTTTATTAGCTCTTCGTTTTTTGGTATCAGAAAAGCTAGATCAATAAAAAAATTGGGGGAGCCCAGCCAGGCGTGGCTCAGCGGTTGAGCGTCGACCTAGGATCCAGGCAATCGGGGTTTGATTCCCGGTCAGGGCACGTCCCCAGGTCGTGGGCTCGATCAGTGACTCTCTCATCATTGATGTTTCTGTCTCTCTCTCTCCCTCTCCTTTCCTCTCTCTGAAATCAATAAAGATATATTTAAAAAAAAAAAAAATTGGGGGAAACATTATTTCTGATTGATTCGGCTGCCATTTTGGTATTTTGCCTTAACAGGACTACAAGCAACTAAATCTGTCATTTTATTCCTTCCATAATACGCTAACATCATACTTCTAGGGATGCTTTTGACCACTTTTAAAGACCTGATACCTATCAGAGGGTGTGGGTAGTTTTGGGTGGCGGTTCATTTTGTCTGTGTCAAATTACAAGCCAGAAATGAGCGTATTCTTCCTTATATGGCTTACTAGATTGCTAATATTACTTTTAATAAAGGTGATCTTGGGTTCTTCACCCAACAGTCTAGTCTTCATATTAAATTCATCTGACGCTCATGTGTCTGTGTAGATATCTCTGAAATCCAGTAATGATTTCCCTTTCAGTCTTTAGCCTCCTACCTTGAACGTCCCACTAGAAATTTCTAACATTTCCACAAGTCTCATAATTGCCTTAAACACCAAGTATCCAAGATGGTCATGTGACCTTCTCCTCCCTCTAAACACTCAGATGCCAAATTCCTGGTTTCTGTCTATAGCACTATCTGTCAGTCACCCACGTGCTCTGTCCTCAGTCATTTACGATGGACATGTCCTCTCCTGCGTCCATCCAGTCATCAGCAAATCTTTTCAGTATTTCTCAGGGATGCTAAGTTAAGGCGTGAGGGGCAGGTTTCTGCTGAGAAAATTCATGTTTGCCCAGGATTTACCTATACCAAAACTTCTAGTGAGTTTCTGATTAATATGAGTTGCAATCTAATTTTATGCCCCTTTATTTGTAATTCCAAATCTTGTTCTCTAGCTCACCAGCCCCCACAGACTACTAACTACCCTGGACTAGTCAGAACCCAGACTACACCCACAACCTTTGCTCTGTCTGGGCTTTTACCTGTAACAAAAGTTCACTGAAACCCTTTTTCTTTTTCTAACGTACCCCAATCTTATTTGTCATTCAGTTCTAATTTTAAGCCCATCAGGTTTTTCCGACGCTGACCTTCCATTTGGAAGTGTTCTTTTTTTCCCAAGTTCCATGTGTGTCTCTTGCCGAATTCCCGAAGTCAGGAGCCATGATTTTCACTGCTTTTGTCTTCCCCACTGTGCCTTGCACAATGCTAACAGGCCCTTGTAGTTCAACAAATACTTGCTAATTTTAAATGAAAGAGAATTGAACCAATTGTTTTCTTTGCCTGGAGTTGGTTATAACATGTTGGAAAAATATCGCATTTAATCTCCATCTCTTCTCATGTGTTTATGGACTGTTTTATAGCCAAGAAATAAAAGTCAGTATATCACAGGCCTAACTAACGTGGAGGCCTCCTCTGCTGGGCAGTCTACAGAATTAAATCTCACGCCAGCTGGATCACTGCTTTGCAACTGGCTCTCCCTTGAGGGAGGAGAGGACAGGCAAAATGCCTGTGGCTCTGAGAGTGGGAGTGGTGTGTTTCATTATGCAAGAGTAGAAGCTCGTCTTCCCCCAGCAGATGCAAATCTTGCCGTGAGGTTATAGCCAAAGAATGCATAAATATCATTAGAAGCCTAGAGAGGGGTTTTCCCTAGAAAAGTATTGCAAACTTAGAAAAACACAGTAGGCGGAGGTACCATGTGGTGTTCTCTTCTGGCCAGCGCCTGCCTCTACTGGGGGAGGGGAATGATGGGAGTGCCTCCTGCCCACGTCTGGCACATGGCTGATAGATTAAAGTTCCCAACTCTATGTGTTGCACTCTGTCCTCTCCTAGGGACATTTCATCTCACCTAGAACCTAGTAAAGAAAGATCCTCTCATCTAGAAGCTGCCACACGGAGCTCTGCACCGTGGAGGGGGGCAGCTTACGATGAAATGGAATTGAATGCCCATTGGCCTGGGTTGCGTGATGGCTCTAGAGAGTTCCCTGGGGAAGTGCAACAGGCTGCTTCTGGAGTCACTGCCCCCGGGCCAGCAGCAGTGCAAGGAGAGAGCATTTGTTTCTAGTGAAACGACCAGCTCCTACTGAATCCAGCCACATTTCGCCATCTTCTCTATGCTCCCACCCCCAGTTGGAGAGTTAGGGTCGGGCCCCTGTGCAGTGAACTGTTCTCGCCTCCTGTTTGGAAGAATGACAGTTTTAAATGCCTCCATGTTTTGCTGTAGGAGCGTGCAGACAGGTTTCTGGTTAATTTTGCTTTGAGGAATTCAGATCTATTTGTTTTGTGAAATGGAATGTTTTCTATGGAGATATGTTTGGCTCATAGGGGAATTGTGATAGTTTGTTTGTGGCTCAGGGTTTGTGAGCCAGGTACTTCAAAGGCCAATATTCAAAACATCAGAGTTTGAAGTAAGGAAGGTTTTATTGATGGAGAAGGTGCCAGCTCAAGAAGATGGGGGGATGCCTTATAGTTTCTCAAATCCAGAGCCCAGAATTCAGGCATCTTTTATGTCAAGGGAAAAGAGGAGGGTCGGGGTAAGAGGTATGTGTGGCACCAACAGGGATGCAAGGAAGAGCACAAAATCTCTAAATCTGTTTGTTTCCCTGGTCCTTGACCCCTGCGGGTCTGATCTGGTCATGAGGCTCCTGCAAATCTTTGCCCAAAGCTCCAACCTCAAGCAGAATTCCTCTGATAATTAGCGTATCTGGAGCAGGATCTGTTCACCTGAAGGCCATGGGGGAAATGGGAAATGTGGGCTGGAATTAAGACAGTCCGAGAGAGCAAGCCCCTCACTCTGAGAAAAGCGAAGTTCCTGCGCAGGCTGCAGCTTTCAGAAGTTTGGGCACGGGAAAGAGTTGACTACTGTTCACCTGAAACAAAATGCCCGTGTCTGGCATCTGCCAAGTCTCTTTGGAGAGGTCACTTCCAAACCAGCGAAAGCACCCTTCTGAGAAGTGCAAACCTCTGTAAACCTCATCAGTTAGGAAGCAAAACACGCGGCCTGAGAATTGAGAGAGCCTCTGCTGCAGCCTGATATTAAGAGAGCCCGGAGTCTTCTCTATCTGCCACTAAGTGTGAGGGATGAGCTGTGAAACCAACACTTACGGAGTCCAGCTCCTCAATGCCCTTTCTATTTAAAAAAAAAACACACAAAAAAACAACTGGACATTTCCTTTTAAATTTTATTGTTTAAATTATCAACAGGATGGCATTTGCTGCCAATAATGCATTTGTTTCTATCCTCTTTATGTATTTCTGCTGAGGCTTCAAGCTATTCACCCAGGAGTAGAGGACCTACGGAGAGGTGCTCAGTGGTTCCCATTGGCACAGTAGATGGGGATGATGCAAGGCCACTGGGCAGAGCCTTCAGGTTAGGAATTTAAAATGTGGATGTTATAACTCACAGCTGACGAAGTGTGTTCATCTGCACAGTCACCCCCTGTCCTATCAAGGACCCCCTGAGACAGCGTGTAAGGGTCCTCATGCATGTCCACACACATTCGGGTTCAGACACAAGAAGAGACTCGGGGTGTGTAGAGATGTGTTTCCTTAGAATTTTTTAAGAACAAAAAATTATTTGGAACAAAAACAATGATGGATTAACTGCTGTCTAGAAATTATAGACCATGAGCCATTTTATACCTATTCAGAATTATGCAGTCATTCCCAGGGACCATTCCATTCATTCCAGTACCCATGAAAACAAACATTCTTGGTCCTCATTTCCGCCTGGTGAGGGGTAATGAGAAGGGCTATTTCATTATTGTCGAGAGGGTACAGGAACAAAAATGAGGCCAGTGGAGCTCCCAGAGTGGTGATCGGGTAGCCTCAGTGACTTGTAAGTGTAATTTTATGGAGATATTGGCATTTGTTAGTTGTCAGATGTAGCAACAGCTCTCCAAAAGGTAGTCTGCTGAGCTCATTTAAAATCAGCCCAAACTCACCCCTTCAGAGATCTTGGAAGTGGACACCTTGTTTACTTATCCCAAAGAAGCTTATTTCTACCCGGCAAGGGTGATGCTGGCTGACCCATGCTGATCTGCTCCCCCATTTATCAAACTGGAGGTTCAAGGCATGGCCACACTTGGGATTCCAAATGGCTAGAGGCACCATCTGACCCTTGTGTGAGCCTAAGGTGTTCGCATTCCTCCTAAAACTACTAAAAACCCCAAGAGGGTACCAGGGGAGGCCCCTTGGGCAGCACAGAGGTTCTGTTTTCTTCTGCTTCTCAGTTTCTCCTTTCTGCTGCCCTCCAGCTTAACCTCCTTAGGATGGCTTATTTTAGCCAGTATTGTGAGTGTTAACTGAGCTCTTTTGTTCATTGGGAAACACACTGGAGAAGTTTTACCATGACAATAGGTTGTTTTACTTTTCCTTTTCCTTTTATGGCCCCATGCTTGGTGACATTGCTGACAAGTTTTTGCTGCTCAGGTCCCATTAAACGGAACCACACGGGGCTGTTACAGGAGCAGCCCTGTTACTGGAGCAGTGCATGGGGATCATTTGTCGCAGGGTGGTTCTATGGCTGCGGGCCAGGATGTGAAAATCTCTAGTGTCCCTGTGATTTCCTGAGGACAGCACCCTCGAGGAGTAAAATATATTACAACCTGCTGTTGGCTCTCAAGAAAAGTATGCCACCATGAGACACTGGGCCATTGGAAGACAACTAGGGTTTGTTCTAGAATTGATGTGCCTGTCAGCTCATACAGGGTTTATAGTCTTTAAACAGCATTTAACAATAACTGTCTGCTTTCAGTTGGCTTCATCTCCTGCTTTTTTGTGTGATTGCAGGTCCTACAGGTATGGATCTCTGGAAGTTGCTATTGACCTTGGCAGTGGCTGGCTCCAGTGATGCTTTTTCTGGGAGTGAAGGTGAGTGCTGCCTTCCTGTTCCCACCTGCAGTGTTTTGAAATAACACCAAGCTCTGTTTGTTCAATCTAAGTTCTTTGGATAATTGAATCAAAATATGTTACGTTTTAAGTAGCAGCAAATAGGAAACTTATCTTTAAAATCATAAAGTCGGAGGACTTCTCTGTGGATGTTTTACAGGGAACGTGGTAGGCAGCTTTGGCATCTGGTGTTTTCACATCAAGAAGAAATGCTGCAAATCATGCTGAGGGCATTTGTGGGAAGGCGAGCCAGGTCTCTTGGTCCCTGGGCTCTGGGAAAGATACTGAAACTACACTGAAGGATTATTAACCTACTGATCACTCAGCTCACCTGTGACTAAGGATATCCCAGCCTATTTGCAGAGCTCAGAATTAAGGCCTCTAAGTCATATTTTCTGAGAGGGGAAATTGCAGGTTTCAGATAAATTTCGCCTCTTACTCTCAGGGTGATTACCGTCTGGCTAAGTTTGAAGGAAGAGTCACCTGAAATAGTGAATGATACACTCAGAAGTCCTCAGCTTCCTTGGCCATCTCTGTATTTTACTTTCTTCCTGGGAGAAAAGTCAATCTATTCAGACGTATGTCTCAGAGCAGAAATAACTAGAACAAGACAGGGCAATGAAGGGAAGTGAGAAGAGGGATTTTTCTGTTCAGAAAGAAAACTTTGCTCATAAAGGGGTGGGGGACTTCTTAAAAGATCGTCTTGAGTGCTTGATTTTTTCCTGGCTTGGACTTCCACAGAGGAAGAAACAGTCTATTTCTCCCAGTCTGTGACACCACAGGCAGTTGTTGCTTTAAGAGTAGCTGACGCCCCCTCCCCACCTGGCAGCGGATGTTGGAAAACAGTTTCAGAGCAGAGGTAGTGCCTTCAGATGCCCTCCTTGCCCTTTGAGCCCAAAATAAATCCATAGTAGTGAGCTGCTGAGGGCGACTAGGGTAACCAAGAAAACAAGAAAGGTAAAATATGTTATCTCTTAAAGCAATCTAGAAATATTTATAGAAAAGAAGTCATAATTGTTTGAAATAGTTTTGGGTCTCTCTGATGTTATAACGTCAACATCGTGCAAGTCAAGCCTGGAAGGAATCGCAGCTCTGTTTCAGCAGCTTTTCCCATGGCTGGTTTTAGACTCTGGTCCTGAGCCAAAGAACTGCAGCCGAGATCCTCTCCTCTTCCAAAAGCACCCTGGTTCGCTCTCAGCTTTCTTCATTAAGGTGGCTGTCAGGCCATTCAGCCAGACTTGGGAAATTTTAAAAACCTGTGAAATGAGAAGTATGGCAAAGGAAATCTTTAACGATGTATCTTTGGAAATGCATCCCCAGTTGCAAGACTAGAACTCAAGTTACATTTTAGAGCTAGAGAGTCTGCAAAGAGCCTGCATTTCAGCTGCTCTGACATTTTAGCTTTAACATAAACCTTTCGCCTCGGAAGAAAAGTGGAGAAAACACCACCATTCGCTGGCTTCGTGTGTGCCTTTTGTCTTGCTTTCTGATAATTTTTTGTTTGCTTTGTTTCTTTGTTTGGGAGGAGCAGAGCATAAGAAAATGCAGCAGTTTATAGTAAACACAAACCAGGCAGCTGGCCACGACTTGCACGTATGTAGTAAGTAATTTAGCGAAGGAACAAATTTCTTCCTCCCCCTTCCTTTTTTCTCTTAGTGGCCTAACCAGAATTCCTTTGCAGTATGTGGCTACTTCAGAATTCTACCTTAAAATGGCCTGGGGATAGTTAAGGACCAGTGCCTGATGTTTCTGCAAGAAGGTGCAGATGAGCATGTTTGAACACGAGCTCCCCATTCTGGCCATTTATCTGATGGATTTAGCCAAAGCAATCACATGGCATGACTCGGATTAAATGTCAGATAACATTCATGGGCCACGTGTTTCTTTCTGTGCCAAGTCAGGATTGTCGTCAACTCATTTTTATTTTCTTTCCCATTGTATAAGGTAGACTAAAAATACAGGTGAGGATTTAAAAAAAACAAAACACACACACAAAAAAACCACACTACTGTATTTCAGCAACCATTCATTTGAATTCTGTTTGGTCAGTGAGAACTGTGGCTCTGCTGAGTAAGGAATCCGGGAAGCGTCCCCTGGTGAAAGTAGCCCAGAAGCTGGTAGGAGATGACAGATCCGTATGCCTGGGGAAGGTTGACACTTGAAGTGTCGAGCAGGGATTTTCATGCCTGGACAGATGAGCAGTTAGAAATATACTGGCCCTGAGAAGCCTTTTTATTAAGTCTAATTGCCCTATGGGAAATGCAGTGCGAACTAAACATCGAACAGTGCCACCATTGTATTAGGGGACATGTTGCAATAGACGCTCGCTCGTCTTTCATCCTTCACATTAGTCTCTAGTCTGTTCCTCAGGTCAGGTTTCTAGTCTCGGGGAGAATTTCTTATTCCAAAATTGGGAGTGACCAGCAATGCCTCATCTCCAGGGGGTTTCACAGGGTCGGCTTGTCTGCTGGCCGCACTGAAACTGCTGCTCCTGGGATGATGAATTCAGTGAGATGTGTTTACAGGTCCGATGGACATAAATACTCTTCCAGGGCGTGCCCGTTATCAATGAGCTCTCATCCCTTCTGTTCCTGTCAATCCACAACTGAGCATCCCCTTTGACCCCAGCATCCTAGGACGGGAGCAGGCCTGCCCTGAAGGACTTCAGTCTAGTTGGGACCAGTCGGGGCATGAGGAACTCCTAGAAATGAATGAGACTGTATAGCTTTAAGGTCTAGATGTGCGAAGGGTGCTAATGGTCAAACTGCTCTGAAAAAGTATAGATTAAGGTGGCCTGGACTGGTTAATTCAACAGGTTCAGTGTACAGGCATTTTCTCAGAGCTTTCTGTTTTCAAACATTGCACTTAGGGCTGTGAGCATAGCGATTCTCCCCTCAGGGGACTCCCCGTGGGTTAGGAAATGGGGATAGACACCGAGAATTACAGTAGGAGCAGTGCCTGTTAACTGTGGGACTAGTAGCCTGGACTGCACTCCTTCTGGCGAATAGAGGAGTGTCGCTTCAGGCTGCCAATGACGCGGAGAGAATTCCAGCAGAAGCTAGACTACTGGTTAAGACTTTCAAGCCTGAGGAGAGCAGGAGGCGACGCGAGGAGTAGCTATTGTGCTAAGGGCACACATGGACAGAGTGTGCAGGATGAATGTGAGCTGTCGCCAGGAATGGTTCGTGCAGTTGCTGGGTTTCTGCCAGGGATAGGGCACTGGTCTGGGCAGTGCCTGCTTCCATTTCACATGGTTAGTGTCCAGTGGTATTTTTTGAGGCATGGGATTAACTTGGCCAGACTGTGTGGTACATGAGCACTGTATTTGTAACTATTCCCTTTGGAAGTAAACTTAGGTCAGTAGATTTGACTTAAATTATAGAAGGTGGTAAAAAGCTTCGTGGAGAAGGCAAGTCTTGCGGGGCCTTAAAGCATGGCTAGTATTTGGAGAGGAAGAGACGAGAGAGTGAATATACACCATATCCTGCAAGTCACAGTTTTTCTCAATGTCATAGACCAGCCCAAAGTGCTGAGCTCATGAAAGAACATCATTTGTGTGTATGTGTGTGCATGTGTGTAATATTAATGTACAGCATATATAATACTTAAGTGTAATATATACTACATGTATATGTGTGTATCTATATACACATTATATATAAATATTATATCGAATATATAATGATATAGATATATATATTAGGTGTGGCTTGCAGGCAAAGCATATAATTATTATCTTACCCCTCTAAAGATTTAAAGGCTCTACATTGTTCTATACCTCTCAAGATAAGAAACTTACACTAGGAGTGAGATGCCAAGTCCTGAAGGAACCAGCATCCCCCAGTGTTCTCTATATAGCTTTGAACATTTTTCATAAACCTATACCAACTGACACAGCACTTGTGTAAAAGAACAGACACCTCTGTTCTCATTGCTAACAGATTGGAAACAAGGGCTCAGTAGAAGGAACATCTATTTTTCTACATAAACCCTACGCCACTCCAGAAGCTCCATGGAACCCTGAGAGGTTCCCAGGCATATAGGATCTATTTCAAGCAAGTATTAGAGTCACGGTCGTGGTGGGCAAACAGCGAAGTGTTTGCCTGTTAAATTTTTCAAGGAGGACCAGACAACCCAAGGCTTTCCATTCACACTGGACATGATGGGAGACACCATCATGAGTTGCTGCTGTCTCTCCTGTCACCAGGAGGCCAGGAGAAATCTTGCAGTGTCTTCTAGTGCCAGGGCCTGAGTCCGTGCTCATCAACAACCCTGCGTCACCTGGTCCTTCTGGCATCACAAACGGCTCTAACATTGGACTTCAGCAGGCCACAGAGGCCAGGTTATGGAACTTCTGGTCCCGTCTGTCTAGATGGTGCCAGTGGAAGATCTGAGCGTAGACCTTTGGAGGAGATAACACAGAACACTTTCAGCAAGTTTTTAACGAGCACTCTTATGGATTCAAGGGGGAATTTTATATTTATTTTTTGCCTTTAAGAAGCTCATGGTCTATAGAAGAGAAGACAGACAAGCAAACATAATTTGATTCTGGTCCCCTTAGGTGATGGAAGAGTTTTAAGCAGGGTACTAATATGATTCGATCTTCATTTTGGAACTCATACCAGTAATAGAATAAAAGTGAATTTGAGGGGGATGAGTGTGGAGGAAGAGACTGTAATAAGTCAGGAGAGAGATTGTGTAAGTGTGGCCATAGTGGTGAAAATAGGTGGATCAGAGACAGATGCTGAGGAGATGGGGTCACCAGGGCTTGGAGTCCAATTACGTGTGGAGTTTTGACTTCAGGAACTGTCAGCTTTCTTACTCCATCCATTGCTAAGTTTCCACATTTTTAGTGGATGTTATCAACATCAGTAGTGACTCACTTTAATATAGTGAGGTTCTGGAACACAACTCAGTCTACTAGCAGTGAGGTGGTCCTTGCATGCAACAGCTCTGTGGGGGCAGAAATGCACTGAGACTGA